CATTATGAATATTCTTTGCTATCTGAAGTTACCATACGTTTTAATTACATGTATTTAAAAAAGATAACTCTACTTACAAAGCAAAAAAGGAATCCTAGGAGGGGTGCAATAACATTAATTTAAATGCTAATGCAAATCAAAGCAACATCATGTTTCTCTAGCTTTCCCTGTAGATAAGATTCTGTACATTTGGTTGAAAAGCTTACATTTTTCTGCATTGTGGATACATTGCCTCATGCAGTATCGATAAATCTCTACTTTATTTTGGACTTAAATAAAGTTTGAAATATGACTTGCAGTTCTAGTTGGAATCCATTTCTTAGGCTGAAGTAAAATGTTTGCTGAACATTGGATAAGACAGAGCATTTATCAGAAACTTGAAATCCCTTCTTGTGGTAGAAGCTCTGAGGTTGTTTCTGCAAGCATGTGAACACAGTGTATACTCTCAGTGTGGTAAGCAAGAGAGGTATATACAGTGTTTTCAATGTCAAACTTACCAGTAGCTTCCCCCTAATTGAACTAAACCATTTCTTGACAAATCTGTAATCCATAGGTGTTCTGTGCATTACTCCTCATCAGGAATGTTGGGGAATGCACTCTGATTTTTAATGTTCAATGCTAGAATGACCAAACTAAAATAATATTCAAATGGTAATCTAAACTTTTGGAAAAAGTAGAATTGCATTACTGTATACAGTGGAAAGCTATTTATTGTACCTCTGGGCTTATTCCTCTAAAAATCGTAGTGTAAAAAAAAAAATCTTTGTCAAGCCTGAACTGATGTATATAACTGAAATAATGTAAAATTATATTTTCATGTTTTTATACTTAACAACATGATGGGAATACATAATGTATGAGTATTTCAATTACAGATAATATTGATTGGATAATACACATCTCAGTTAAAAATCAGTAATCATAGTTTAATATCCATGTTACAGTACATCAGTATATTGCTATATAAAGTATGTCTGTGTGCATTTAAGTGAAAAGTAGTCAAGAGTGATGAAAGCTGTCCAAGGGTTTTTTATTCATTTTATATGAAAACTGTTATGGAGCAACCAAAATGTTTATGAACTCAAACTTGTGTAAATTTCAAAATGTCCTTTTACTGTAGCTTTTTGTTTACCGTACAGTATCTTATTTTCTGCTTTGTTAAATGAGTAACGGTACAAAGCTGGACATACTCTTTCTAAGACATTAACGTTCCCGTTTTTTCATGTATACCTATATGACAGAAAATGCTTCTGATTTTATTTTTCAATCTAACACATGATGGCTTTTCTGGAATGTTGTATAAACTTCAATCATACATAAAAAATCTTCTTAAAAAAGGCAAAAGACCTTTAATGTCTGTTTAGTATTATTGAAATCTGGTTTCTTATTTATTATAAATGTATTTTCCTAAGATTTTACATAGAGCAAACCTGTTTGTCCCCACAGATATTAAATTTCCTTAAAGAGTTTTACAAGGAGAATATAAATCTTTCCCCAAATCATCTTGTCACTCAATGGTAGATTTACTGTAGTTTCCGTTATTGCTTAACGAAGTAATGTAGCTTTCTTGCCAACAGTATAATTGTGTTTCTGAAATGTAACCTTCTTGATCATGGTTATAATGGCAGTGTGATAGGATGATAATGCTAGTAGGCTAAGTATCTATCCAGTAACTCTACTTAAAAATTGTCAGCTTGAATCAGTATTTTTTTGCTTCAACAGATTGATGATGTGTCCAAAGCAGAGAAAGAACCTGAGAAATGGCAAGTATTCTAGGTATAAGTAGTGTTGCTACTAGAGATCTAGTACAACAAAGTGTTTGCTGTAATAGCAAACCATAGAGTCTGAAGACTTTTGCAATGTGAAAGGTTCAACATCTTTATTTAAATGTATTACACATTTTAACAGTGAGTTTCCGGAGTATCAGCCTTCTCTGGCTGATAGGTGTAGACAATATCTGTACATGAATTACTGTGCACAAATAATTATATTTTTAAATACAAATACATGATTTCAGCTATCATTTGGTACAGTTAGTTATATGAATACAGTTGGTCACTAGCAAAATAGAATCATCATCAGCTGTTCTGCATGATATCCCTAGAGACTACTCAGACCTGTTTCTCAGTACCAAAGTTTATTGTTTATTAAATCTTTTCATTTAAGCTCTCATGGGATCACAAAAATCTGCCGTGAGAGATTCATTAGGTTCAAATTATATCAAGCACTTAGAATAAAATTTAGCAAATGATTTAACTGTGGACTTAACTTTGAACATTTTCCCTAGCATCAATTTTTGTAGCTAGTAGAGAGTACTATCTACCTGTGTGAGACATGATAGAGTTAGGAAATTGTATACAGTAATGTCACGTATGTGACACATTTCATTCAGTCTGTGCCTGCTATTGATCTTCCTGAAATTTCTGCTCATACTACTCCTAATACTCTGAACTTTGGGGCTGCTTCAAATAGCTCAGTGGTCAATTTGCTCTGAAATTGTTTCTTTTTTTGTCTTGAATGCTAGCTTTCCTCCCTCCCCGAAGAAGTTTGATAAACATGTCTGCATCTAATGTCTGGGGACCTACAGGAACTTGAAGTGATAACAATTTCAAAACAGAGTCTTAATTAACTCCTACTTTCATTTAATAGGTCTCAACTCCTTGTATCCTGAAGTAGCTGTATTCATATTCATAATGCATCTTTTTTTTTAGATATTTCCTTAGTGTATAGCACTTTGATGGTCGAAACTTTAGTTAGAGTCATGTAGTGCTTTAACGTAAAATTTATTGACTTGATATTATTTGAAAAGAAGAAGTCTTTAAAATACGATTTTAGTAAACAAGTAGCAAGAAAAAATAGAACATAGTAAGATACAATACAAAAATTCTGAGAATTACAGATCCAACTCACCTGCAGATTTTACCTGTCTTGAAGCCTTTCCACAGTTCCTAATCCTATTATTAGGGCATATTACATGATACACTTTCTTTCTTTCCCTCTTTCCTCACCACATGCAGTTAGTTCTAATACATACTCTTTAGTCTGGTAGGCAGATAGGAAATACAATTACTGTATGTAATGCTTATTATAAATTTTTAAAAATTGATTTGGCGTTCATTAAAGATGTTTATTGTAGCTTATTGCATATGTCTCTACTAAAGAAACTGATTATAAAGATGGGAAAGATATTCAAGTGGCATCATCCACTGCACTGTTCTTCTGTCAGTCTACTTTGTACATCTATTGCTAATGAAAATTTGGCTATCTTTGTAGGCAGCTCAGTGCTTTACTTACCTCAGTGGTAAGAAGATTCTTTACACCTAAAAGAAAAACACTTAATTCCACAAAGTTGTCTAGTGAATGACTTCATATCATTTGCCCAAAGTTATTCCTCACAATACACTTGCAACTCTCACTCAACAGGAAAGGACCATTACTACATGTTGTAGGTGTAGAGAAAAAGTTAACATTTCATTTGTCGTTATTTTTTAAAAATGCTGACTTTTCCAGACTGACCTGTTTGTGTTAAAGCATTTACTCCTGCTAGTCTTTCAACTTAAGACTGTGATTTAAAATATGTATTTAATTTAAAATTGGTTTTCTTCTCTTTAAGGATCCCAAACGTATCTTACAGAATTGAAAAAGGCTGCTCAACGTTAGTGCCTAGACTAGCCCCTTGAAATTGTCTTCAATTAGTTTATATCTGGAGATGAAGGAAATGTTACAAAGGAGTTCCAGTGGGTCCCATGAGCCGTGCAGGACCACACTACCTCTTTTTCATCTTTTCATGCACAGAAGGCAAGCAGGTGGGCAAAGGTGAAATAGATTTGAGTTGCAGAGGTAGTTTCATGTCATTCTTCTGTCCCTCCTCTATCCTGAAGGACTATCCAAAAGAAACACCAGAGAGAATTTATCTCTCTTTTCTAAGGATAGAAAATATACTCACAACTGGGTGCTTTTCTTTTAAAAGCCCACTGTTGGTGCAGTTTTGAAATTATAATTCTGTGTTTTAGTTTATAATAAACAGTTCTTAAAATGGGAAAATAAAATCTGTTTCCAGGGTCATTTACTGTTTGTAATGTGTACACATACTAGTTTCTTAGCAGAGCCCAGAGACCTGGCATGTGCTTTACTGAAGCATCAAGAGCGTCTTGTGAAAAATATAGTTGGAAGCTTTTATATGACAACTTTTTACTCATTTTTCAAGTTGTACTATTGCTGCCTGCCCTTCAGCACCATGTTCTCCGAGTTAAGAGAAAAATGTCATTAAATAGGTCAAGATACACTTCTTTCACTTAATAGTATGCTTTACAAATAACTAAATATTTTTCAGTAGTTGGTTTCCTTATGAGTGTCATTATAAGTGACAAAACCATTTTGGGTTACCTCATACTCCTGAATAGTGGAATATTCACAGAAATATTTTTTCTGGTTTTGAACAAGTAGATATTTTTTATACTGTCACAATGACTAAAGATACAATAATACAAACTACCTGATTTTTACTCAGGTGCTTGCTTTTATATTTGTTACTGTTCTTTTTAGTAATTTCACAAAAATGTTGGAAGAATATTTGCATAAATTTTGAACTAAGTGGCTTAGCAGCTAATACAAGTTACCTGTAACTGGAATTTATCGTTCAGTTTCAGCTCCTGTGTGTTAACAAATAAGTGGAGTTGCTGGTATATGAAAATGCAGATTGTGGATGTTCCACTAGATATGTGTGTATACATATCCATACACAAATATGGAAATGCAATAGTAAAACTAGTGCTGAGTTTGATAAGACCATACTCAAAAGTGTGATAACTATGGCAATAATTCATAGTAGGGCCAGTAACAAGAGGAAGGTTCATAAGCAAGTGCCTTATCACCTTTAGTTTGAATAAATATGGAGTCTTACATTTCCATAGGACAGTATGAGTCCCCATGGGACTCAGTCAAGAGTGAATCCCCTAACTTCAAAATCTGGTGTAACACCTGTGATCACCTTTGTCCTCACTGACAGGATTAAGTTCTACAGAACTTCTGTGAGAAAAATGGGCTCTTCCACACTACCTTTGGCCTACACAAAAAGGTCAAATTAAGCTATTGATTGCATGTGGTGTTGCCTCTCACTGCAGCAGCAGAGATGGGTTTAAGTATATGCATGTATATGTTTAATTTTTCAAATGATACTCATTTTTTCAAATTACACTGTCTTACCTATTTAAAAATCCACATACTTGCTCTGAAAGGCTCACTTTTAGTTAAATCTAGCATGACATGCACAAGGACAAACTAAACATTATTTTTTGTAAGTTATTACTTGATTTTCTGAACCAAAACCTCTGTAAGAATTAAATGCCTCCAGAACAAACTACTGTGCATTGACTGGGCTGGATACTACACTACCTATTTTGAACATTGTGCAATAATATATACATCTATGGTGCTGTGGCAGAATTCTGTCCACATTTTGTATTTTTTTTTTACTGGCATTGACAAATGAGTAGTATAAGCTATAGGAAATCACTCTTACAGTGTAGGCTTGGCAGACAATTTTCAGGCAATTTCTATTGATTGATTGTATCTGTGGCATTACCATGTTCTTTAAATTTGCAACTTCTGAATATAAAATTAAAGCATGTGATAAATTGTTTTTATAAAGCCATTGTCTTCAGTGAGAGCAGGACTTTACTCAACATGTTTTCTTCATATTGATGACTATAGTTACCTAAAGTACTTGTTTTTCACAGGATAGTTTTCACTCATTTTCACTGTATGCTCTTGCTTGTTTTAGGGGACCTAAAAATACATCTTTTTTTTTTTTTTTTTTTTTTTTTCATCAGTTCTGCTTAGTCCACCTTATAAGCTGCTTTCTATAGGAGATATTTGTTAGTTTATGCTTGTAATTTCCTTGTTGATCTTTTATCATTGGGAGAGATTTTAGCACATTGAGGGGAAAAAGTAACGTTACATACCTTGCTTGCTGATTTGAGATGTTGCCCAAATCCTTCAGCTAATGAATATGTCCAGTGACTCGCACCTCTTAAAGACTCTTTCTCAAACCGCAGGGACAAAGGCTGCTCTGGGGAGAGTGAGGTAATACACATTAGTCAGAGCCTGCCTCCCTGAAGTCCAGGGAAGCTGGGGTGTCAGGACCAAGCCTGAACCTCCCCGCTGTCTATATGCAGTCATGCACTGATCTTCCCTAGGATCACTGCACTTGCATTCATGCTAGCAAAATTGAATTGTTAGCATGGTCAAGATGCAAAAACTATTTCTCCCTATTTTTCCACTCTGAACATGATGCCAGGGGGGAGAGCTGTCCCCTTCTTTCCATGTCCAAACTTTCTGAAAAGCTTTCTTCCTTCCCTGAACTACAGCCATCCATATTTGGCAAATTCAGGATGTAACTTTAGAAAAATTGCATTAGTATAAAATAGTCATGTATTTTCTCAGCATAGAGGAAACTCAGTATTTACCCTCACTTGAGAAACTGCTTAGTTTGCTTGCCTGGCTGAACAATTTTATGGAGATTTTTCTCATAGGGCAAAAAACCTCAGTACTTCATGAGTTATGACATCATATATTTTTATAAAAGAAAACATGCAAGCTTCCCAGTAGACAGTATCATGAGAATGTAGGTGTTATTCTTTTGGTAAGATTCTAGCTAAGATTATACTATGTGACAGCCTGTCTTTATGCATGTTGTAATACGCTGTGTAAATCAGAGGATTATTGGCTTGCCAAGTGATTTTTCTGCGTTCTCAGACCTGTATAACAATATATATGCAAATAATACAATTATGTTAACTTTTTAATTTTTTTAAATGTATCCTTTGATCACTTACACAAATCCAAATTAGGAGCAATACAAGTAATTGAAGTATGAATCAAAACTGCCCAGTGAGACAACCTCAGCTGATCGATACTATTTTCTTTTTTTTCTTTTTAAAATATCTGTAGAAAAAAACAGTGTCTTGCTAGAATCAATAGGCAACAAAACAGTGGATAAGAGAATGCAAACCAAACCTCGGGATGGGGTTTTGAAGCCATGACTTGAATCTATGTTACTGCTTAGTAAATAAACCAGAACTTAATTTCTCATTTAAGTTAGAAAGTTAGAAGAGGTTCAGTACATTTTTTCTGGTGTAACTGAATCATAGAAATGTGTCATGATAAGTGTAGACACTGAATATAGGCTTAGACCTATCTAGCTTCCAGGTATTAGCTATTTCAGGCTACTTTGTGAAATTGTTATGAGCCAGATTTACTTCTTAGTTAAATCGAGGTCCCGTTCTGGCTGCCCACATCAGATCAGTTTCTGGTAATAAACATCAAATCTAGGGATAAACTCTTTACAAATGAGGAGTTTATGTTTCTTTTTAGCTGTCTTGCTTTATATTTTAAAGTCAATATTTCAACAGCAAACTAGAGTAATTATTTTTCTTTACTTGCTGGCGATACTCTTCATGGGTTGTGTTTTTAAAGCTTTTGACTAAAATTGGTATATGTTTACTGAGGGGAAATATGAATTATTAGTCAAGCCAGTGTGTTTTTTTAAGACACTGGCTATTTTCACTGAAAATATAGGATGCTTCATGCTGTAGCAGATAAGGAAGATATGAGGAACTGTTGCAAGAGGATTTAGGTGAGATTTTGTTTGATTTGTTTTTTTAAAAAAGGTTTTAGCTTTTTACTTGTATTCCTTTCATGACGGCTTTTGTAAAACAGAAAATTAATCATCTCTGTAATCATCCTCTGTTATTACATGCTCTAACATTGGTTGACATCAGTGAAGCCACCTGGACACCATGGGGAATGTTCCTATGTTCATGTACATATATGGTAGAACTGCCCAATGAAATAATAGGTGCGTTGTCAGATTTCATTTCCACGTGGATGTGATTGTTCACTTGTTTTGTACAGCTTTGTTTGTGGTGCAGCTACAGACACAGAGATCAGTGGGGAAAAAAAGTATATAGGTTATTTCTTAAAAGAGTAGTGCAGAATATGACAGAGCGCTCCTGAGTTCTCTGCAGAAAGATGTTTGGGGAAAAAAAATGCTTTTAAAAAAAATGACTTGCCTCTGAGCATCCCTTAATGAGAGAAGAATCTAAGTGGCTTCTGTGCCCTGCAATTGTATTCTCTTGAGTAGAAAATCCTGTTCTAAAGGTCAAGAGAGTGTATGGAGGTATTTTTGCAGAATCAGCCCTAACTGACTGAATTCTATATAAAGATGTAAGTATTGGTATTGAGCATGTGATTAAATGCACAAAGGAAATTCCTTTAAAAAGTAATTAGCATGCTATTTTTGTCCTTTCAGTTACATCTTCAAACCTTGCAGCGTCAGGGGTTTTTTTGGATCACTACAAAATGCACATGAATTAATGCTCCATGTCCTCCTGCAGAATTCCATCACCATGACATACCATTTGCAATTTCTAGCATGGACAGATCTTCTACAGATGTCCTCATCAAAGTCATCACCTTACAGAGTTTAGCTCATGTTTTATTTCAGATTCTAAAGAATTATTCTTATAAGTCTTACCATCAAAGTTCCTGAAAAATATTGATTTTGATAATATACATTTTTGTCACAAAGAAGTGTCGCCAAACCATTTCCCTACCTGGTCATTAGAAACAGTATAGTATTATTACTTGATTCTAATGTGAATTATCCTCCATTATTGTCTTTCTTTCTGAAACATCTTGCACGCTGTTTTTCTCCCTCTTAGGAACAAAAAGATGACGCATGGGACACCACAGTTGTATTTCTGAAACCCTCTGCAGATACTGTCATTTGTATGTGTAGGTGCTTGGCTGTTTCTCATCTTAATTCCTGAGATCTTTATGGCTGATAAGATTTAAATCTTCCAGACTTTGTATGTTGTGTTGGAAACCTGGTCCGTAACCTGTTAACATTCCCTCAGTGGCCATTAACTAATGATTAATTATGCCATTCAGTTACAACATTTAATTTATATAAAATCTTGAGGCATATACAGTGTTTTACAAATAATTTAATATTTATGGGACTTAAAGTGAGGATTTAAGCATGTAAGTTAGGCTGCTGAGGATAAGAGATGATAAATGAGCAAAGGTATAGGAGAAATAAAGTGTGAGACATTGTAGGCCATTGGTGTTGATGTCAACATATACACTGGTTGTTTGTGTTTAATATTAAGTCTTTAATCTTTGATTCTAAATTGTCCTAATGAAAAATGGAGTAAGGTATAGAAATACATATTTCAACTTCCATCTGGTGATACTACTTATTCCAGCTAAATGAATTTTCACTGTAACGGTGATAACTGAGGAAGAGAAAACCCTTTCGCAGGAGCATCTTATACTACTGATTTTATTTAGCATAGCATTGCTGCTGCTTGGAATATTTCCTTAATTTCTTTTTGGAAGCTCGTCCTTCAGAGAGACATGCAGCTGCAAACATAAAATGCTTATTTTGCAAGTGCCTGGAACTTGCCGAATCATTCTGTCTTTGCCAAATAAGTATTTTTTGTATGTTTCTACTCTGAACTTGAGGAGGTAGTACATTTTGATAGTGTTTGAGTTCTGAAATCAAATATGATACCTAGATGTATGAAAACTAGCTCTTAAATTAGTTTCTTGCCATATCTTAGCTCAGAAGCTTTTATGTCGTCTGCAAGATGGATTGCCCTTTGTGTTGTTTTACATGTTAGTGTTTGTTATAAATGATAGTAAGAACCACAAAATTTAAACTTTCCATGTTAAAAACCTTTCCAGTTCCATTTGTCTGTGTGCTCGTGTTCAATCAGCCATGTAAAGTGTCTTATTTCAGATACATTCAATTGTAGTCAGGCCTGTAATTTCCATGCTTATTTGAAGACTTTATTAAATAAATTATGTAGCATTCACTAAACATGGAGTTAATCTTTCTGTTGTGCCTTCAAGTTGATTCAAACTTGAGACCTGGTTTAATCATGATACTCTTTAAAAGAGCTGTTGATAAAAATTATGTACAGTGTTCTGCCATTTCTCTTGATGGAAGCTATTTACCCATCTATTTAACCTAAATATATATCACTTTGGGAAAAATTAGTTTAGCTGACATAAAAGCAAAAAGGTGTTTTACAAACTCCAAACCCAGTGTGTTCTATTGCTTTACTATCTGCATCACATTCACCTGAAAACCTTGTCTAACCTTATTAGGAAGAATAATTTTTATCTACTGGATACAATTTTTAGAGCTTCACAGAATTTTTCTTAAGTGACAATATTCTCAGTTTTGGTGAAAATGTATTTCTGCACAAGTAAGCCATATATATATAATAGGGCAGGGCTGGATGACTGTCAGTTTTTATAAAAGACCTCAATGAACACAAGTCCTCTTTGAAGTGGGAAATACCCTGGTGCAGAGTTGAAGAGATTTCCAGCTTCCGGACATGGTAGTTCTAAAGGCAGAATGATCCATATATGAAACGATAGAACATAAAAGCAGTGCAAGAAGGACGGAGGCTGGTCCATTACCTGTCAGAAAGTGCAATTATTTATATGTAGGAGTGAGAAGAGTAAGCCATTGGAAACTGGAACCTTTTCTGTACCCATCTGTCTGTCCGTTTCTCCATTTCACTTTTCTCTGCAGCTTCCATGGAATATAACAGAAAAGATAATCACCCATTTTCTTATGCTAGAAAAAAAACCCACTACCTCACTTCAGGCATCAGACATGGCACGTAAAAGCAGATTAGGTTGGTGAAAGCATCCTGTATCATTTTTTTACTATGAACTATCTTTTGAATATTCAGTATGCCTGGTATCTAAATTGAACAGTGAAAATCTCATAAGCCTTTTATCAGATTTTTTTCTCTACACACCTTTCTCAATTAAGAGTTCCCTGGCAATTTCTCAGTCTAATCAAAAGTTTTTTATAAAGAATAAAGTTAAACTGACATGATGGCAAGATATCCTGCTTACAGGGTGATCTATGCTACTAATGACTGGCAGAGACAGCTTCAGAGTTTATTTTTCACAGTCACTGTGACATGAGACAGAAGGAGACAGAAGAAAAAGGCTTTAAATGCATAAAGGTTAAAACATGTCTAGGATATAAAAGTGCTAGTCTAATGAATGAAAATATCCAGATTAGCATTAAAACACCTTAAACCCATGGGGCATTTCCAGGATCATTGAATCGCTATTAGGAGATGATTGTCAAGCAATGATTTTAGTTAAGTAATGAAATCTCTGAGAATACTAGCTTGTAGAGAGTGACCTTGTACTGGATGATTATGAGTTGATTCAGTATAAATTTAGTGTAGGGATAAACAAAAGTATCCATATAGTTAAGGGTCTGTCATTCAAACTGTGACACATCACGTCTGGGCTCCATACTGATAGATCCAGTAGTGCCTTTCATGTTCCCAGGCACCAGACTCACCATCTGTCTTATTAAACTGGTACAGCAGTCCCTGGTGCACTGTTGGCTGGTGCCAACAAAGCATGCTCCCATACAATTCCTAGGGGCAGTTTTAGGGATGAGAATGTCCCAATGATCATTCCGATTCAGCATTTTGTAAGTTGTCGCAGTATTTTAGCATCTAGGGAAGTGTTGCTGTAATAAACAGGCTATTGCGAGCTCGTTAGCTTGAGTGCACAGGAATATTTTTGGGCATTTTGTTTAGCAGTGTGGATGTCACCTGTGGGAAATAATTAGAGTTGGAGGAATGCAGAGTCTTGAATTTGGAGGAGACCAGGAGATTTCTTTGAGCAAAGAAGTTACACCTGGCAGAGATTTTTATTAAAAGCCTTTGCTCCAGTCCCCATTGGTGGAATACTCATATTAGGAGTATTCTGAAATAAGTGAAGAAGAGATTACCAGAAATACCTGAAATAATGGGACTGGTTATCTGAAGAAATAGTAGAAAAAAAGAAAGAGTAGAGAAAAAGTTTTAAGAGAAATCAACCTGAAGTAGATTTTCCTAAAGCTCTTAAACACCTTTTTTTTTTTTTTCCACACATAAATATATGAATACCAAACATGAAAATGTGGAATAGGTGATTAATGATATTTTAGCAGTAACTCAAAAAGGCAATGTATATGTTGTTACAGTTTTGACAAGGAAGTCTGGTAAGTTGCAGGTTTCCTCCATCAATGAAAGGAGCTGTGAGATAAATGGAAATGTGAATGAAGGAGATTTCATTACCTAAGGAAGTTTTGCACTGGAAGTCCAAAATCGTATTTTTCAAAGATCAGTATTAGGATCAGTTCTGGTTTAATAGACAAATAATGACCCTGACACAAGGAGTGGAAAAGTCCGGGTGACATTAACTAGATGGTACAAAGTTAAGATAAAAATGAAGATGAAACATTGGAAGAGCTGGATATGCTTAAGGAGTTACAGAAATAAGTCTGAATAACATAAAATGAAAGGCACTTAAGGCACTCAAAAGAAAAATCTAGGACAGCAGCAGATCAAAGGGGGACCCATTGCTTTGCTTCCAAGGCCAGCAGATAGTGAGTGCCCCATGAAGAGTAAGGATTACACATACAGTGTATTTTGCTAGGATGCTTGCGTGGCCTCCAGCAGTTTGTGGGTCAGGGACTCCCTCAGACACAGATGATATCTTTGAATTTCTTCTCCTTTCCAGCAATTTATCTAATCACATTGAACTCCTCTAAACCTTGGTAACCACAATATCCTGTGACAGGCACTGTCATGGTTTAACTAAATGTTGTGTAAAGAATCACCATGTTAAATTTTGCCTTAAACACGCTACCTGTTAATTTCCTTTGTTGCCTCTTCATTCTTATAACATGAAATGTAGTTAGCAGTTGCTTATTAGTTCCCGTTCTGACCTGAGACGCTCATAAGCTATCATATGAGAGCAAACTCAAAAAATTGAGCCTCTTTACATAATGAAATGAAAATTGAAGTGGTATGTGACTGATGTTTATAAATACAAGTGGGAGAAGGTCTCCCTCCCCAAGAGGGAGAAAAGCTGCTTACTTTTAAAAAACAATGCTGCCATCAGAATAAGTGGAGAAAATTGACAAAGCATAAATTCAGGGTGGTTTGTGAACATTCGGAGCAGCAGTCAGGTCAGAGGGCTGTACCTTGCATAGACAGTGCATTGGCCGGCGTGGTTAAGGAATGGCTATTTCTCCAGTAAACAACCTCTAAGAGGATCACAAGTTCTTAATTTACAGAAAATGTCCTCAGGCAGGGGTTCATGAGCTCAAATACATGCCTTTGGATCACCCTACTAGCAAAATGATAAAAATGCGTTTTTATGTGTCAAAGTTGATGATTGGGATTCAGCAACTCAGAAGGTCCCCTTCTACTGCACACTGCTACATGGTCTGGCTGCAGAGATGCTCTGTTTTCATCCAGATTCACGGTCCTGTGTGGTCTCCTGTATTTAGTTGTCTATGTCAGTCATTCTGCAAAAAGCCAAGAATGCACATGGTACCCTTACCCCTAGCTCAGTGATTATAAATAATCTAATAAAAAATAAAAAAATAAAAAAAAAAAACACCCCACCCCCCCCCAAAAAAAAAAAAAAAACACAGAAGAGACAAACAAACAAACCCCAAATCCCCCCTAACCCCAAGCACATGCTTTGAATATGGGGAACCTTGGTTTCATCCTTTCTGTTGTGCCACAAAGTTTATGAAACACTCCTTTTGCATCCTGCACCTGAAACTGTCATCACTAGTGCTAGTGGTTATTTTTAGAAATAAAATGTCTCCTGGAAAACCAGCTCCATTTTGCAAGAAAAAGCTAAACAGTCACTGGATAGGATTGGTGCAGGAGGCTTGGTGATTTACACTGAATTAAAGCCAGACCCATTCCTGTTCCAGTGGCTCTAAGGATAGAGCAAAAACCTCTCATGTTGTCAGCAAAAGAAGAACTAGAACCCAAGTCTGCCTTTCTCATATGGGCATCTGGTAGAGTCAAGCTTTAGCTTTTCATATGTTGTGTTTTTCCAACAGAGAGTTAAGTACTCCACAGGAATTGAAGCAACTGCATTAGGGGCAAATCCTGTCAATTTGGATTATCCTCTGTTTTGCTCTAGGGCACCAATCCTCTCATTGCCCAACTGTTTACACATTTGTTTGTTTCTGATTTCTGTCTGGAACGATCCAGAGAGCTCCCTCTGAGAGAAAACATAGGCACTGTTCAAAAGCTACCTTGGATCCACAGTTAGCTCCTGACAGTATAGTTACAGCGTGACCAAATTTTGCTCAGAGTATGTATTTAGTCTGCTCTGAAAAGTGGTGGCCTTGAAGAGTTTAAATGTGGATCAGGCCTTGATTCCTGACACAGTCTGCCTAGATGGGATAGGTGTCCATCAAAGTGCTGGAGTTATGCAGAAGGCATAATCTAATAAAGGGTTTCCCCAGGGGCAGAGAGATTAATTCACATTTCCCATTGTCTACATGAGGGGAGGAAACTATGCTGGCGTTGCCTGTGTTTCTTAAGCGGCTTGACTTGGCAGTGATAATCTGAGAAGGATACTTGGACTCACACTGAGAAGATGTAAAGATCTCCGAAAGTGCAATTACAGACTGAGATTCAAGCTGAGCATTCTGAAGATCAGATTAATTCAGATTTACATGTTTTGTGCTATATCCAAAGCCAGATGTTCAAGATTCTAGTGAAAGATGCTTAGAGAACCTTCGAGGGTCCTAGGAATGGGTTGTAGCTGAGTGCTGAAAAGTGGTGAGGCTTTAAATCTTACACCTTTCCCAGATCTAGCTGAGAGATTTTCTTGGTAAATTCTTCAAAATTGCCTTGAGTTTGTTGGGTAAGTTACAATTGATGTATGAGTAACCTCTGCCTTAGGACTGATGTCTGTGAGGATAACCTTGATAGGGAGTTGCCATCTGTATTTTTTTAAAAAAAATTCTTTCAAAAG